ATTAGAAATATATATTTGTTTATTTCTAAAAATAACATAATATTTTTTTAATTTAATTTAAAATTTTCAAATATTTTTAATTATAAAACATTTCATTACATTATATTTACCGACTTTGTTTAGCATTTTAATAATATATAATATTTCTATTGAACTGTGGGTGAAATAATATCACCTGGACGACTCGATTGATAAAAACGATCCAAAAGACAATCGTATTAAAACAGCGTCTTCCATAAAAAGCTGGTCAGATATTGCGATGCTGCCGGGACAGTGTTCAGGGCTTCTCGTGTCGGATGATCTTGTAGGTGATCCAGTAGAAGATGTTGAAGATGAGGAAGGCCAGCGGGAAGGCGGCGCGCGAGACGGTGTCGATCCTCTTCGCTCGGTCCACAAACTTCTTCCGGCTCAGGTCCGTGTCCTTCACGCAGGTGTTATCTCCGGAGAGATGCAGCCGGCCGTCCTGTAATTCCTGTGAGTTCAGAGAGAAAGAGAAAATCTGAGCATGAAAGCGGCTTTAATGAACCTGCAGCTCGAGGCTTTGTCTCAGGTGTCGAGGCTCCTGAAGCTTCAGGTGCAAATGTTTTGGTCTCAAATTAATGGAGCGACAATCTTTTAGTAGCTTGTTAAAGGATTATTATCATCTTTTAACCCTGTCACCGCCCCTCCTGTGGGACGCTTGGCGCTCTTTTTTGTTGTTGTTCTTTTTCTCTAACAAATCTTTTAGTGATCATCATAAATTATATATCATTTGAAGCCCAAGATTCATGGGACATTGCGTTACCATGGAAATGTCTCCCCCCCTTTAGTGGGCGGAGTCAAGTGTCACATTACAAAATGCATTACCGTCTTTTGGAATCACAACTTTTTAAAATCTTGACAAAAACATGTCATTGGAAAGGTCTCAGGATTCCATATTTGGTGGTTATTTTGAGTAATATTTAGTAATATTTACAGTAAAACCTAGACATTAGTGACAGAAAAATGCATTAAAAATAATCAATGGAGTTTGGATGGCACCCAGTGGCTGTTTGTGGTATAACGCCCTAAATATATATATTTTTTCATATCAACTTCAAATTTGGAACATAACTTATTTCGACATAAGGCTTTAATTTTATGCCAATTTTAGAGTAAACCTGTTACGTAAAATATTTACTATATATAAAATAGAGATTGATATTTAAGTTTGATTTGATGGTAATGCTTTACATTTGGTGACATTATTGCATTAGCAAACATGAACTAACTACACTGCATGTTTAATTCAATGTGTTACTGTTTCTTTGGAATTACAGAAGACTTGTAATATAATGCACAAATCATATGCACTAATTTGATTATTTTTATAATGTTTTTAATTGTGCTTTTTATGGTAATATTGGAGCTTGACAGTAAAAGTCACCATCCACTTTCATTGCTATTTAAATGTACATACATTTGATTTCTAAATGTAATATATTTATCCATTCAAAAATTAATTATCATTTTCTTTTTTCATTTTTATTAACATCTCCATATGTGGTGATGACAGATTTATAATTATTGGATTAATTTTTTTTCTAATAATTATGTTTTATTTTTGATTTTAGCAATATAGTATAAAAACCAACATCCACTTTCATTGTTATTAAATTTATTTATTTTAAAATATATTTTTTATTTTATTTCTAAATATATTTATTAAAAAACTCCACTCTCATGTTAGTTTTTATTTTATTTCTAAATATTTCTAAAATGAAAATTTTATATTTATATAATTTTTGTATTTTTTTTTTCTAAATGTAATATATTTATAAAATTAAAAATTAATTATCATTTTCTTTTTTCTTTTTACATTTTTCCATTCCATTTTTTTTACAATCTCCATTTGTGGTGACGACAGATTTATAATTATTGGATAAATTTTTCCTAATAATTATATTTTATTTTTGATTTTAGCAATATAGTATAAAAACCAACATCCACTTTCATTGTTATTTTAAAATATATTTTTATTTTATTTCTAAATATATGTATTAAAAACTCCACTTTCATGTTAGTTTTTATTTTATTTCTAAATATTTCTAAAATGAAAAATTATTTATATATATATTTATTTATTTTAGTTAGTTATTTTTTATTTTTTATGAACATCTCTGTTTGTGTTCCAGAGAAGAAATAAAGTTTGGACCGACATGAGGGTGAGTAAATTGTGACAGATTTTTAATTATTGGATGATTTATTCCTTTAATGTTATTTTTGTCCCATTAGAGATTAATTTCAACCCAAAATATGAGCAATTCCTTCACATGTTTGCAAATATTTCCAGAGTAAGCAAACTGAAGACGAGCGTTTGAGATGCTGAAGTAAACAGTGGATTATTGAGAGATTTCTAATCGACTCCGGTGTGAATGTCTCCTCGTCGGGACGATAAAGCCGATCGTTTTAGCTGCCGAGGATAATGCTGTTATTATCGTGTGGATGTGATTCATCCTCCGGCCTTCAAACTAAAGATGCTTGAACCCTGTAAAGCCACAGTTACAAATGTACCGTGCTTTAGTACCTTTTGATTTCGTCTTTGTCTTCGTCTGAGCCGCAGAAACTCCTTCTGCTGTCTGGAGACGAAGTTAACGCCGGCGTATTCCAGCAGAGCGGCGAAGACGAACAGCAAACACACCGCCATCCAGACGTCTATAGCCTTCACATAAGAAACCTGCAACACACACGTCACACGATCAGACCCCCGTCTGATATATATAAACACTATATATATATATATATTTATTTATATATCATTTATATTTATTTTTTTATTTATTTATATATGATCTTAATAAATTATATATATATTTTTTATATTTATTTTTAAATAAATCTATTTTTGTTAAATTTTTTATTTTTTCATTTATTTTGGTTTTTATTATTGTTATTATTATTTATTTAACTACAACATTTTAGTATATTAATATAGTAACTCCAAAAGGTGTCCAAAGAACATTTTAAACACAGATAAATCGTTGGATCGGTTTTGGTTCACTGAAATTGACAGCGGTTCAATGAACGGTTTAAACTTTATTTACAAATCAATATATCAAAACTAAACAGCCTAAAAAAGCATGAATTTTCACTTGTTTTCACTCACATCTGATGTACTTTAACTACTGATAATCATTATATCTACTGTGTGTGGAGAGAAAAGCCTTCATTAGAAGCTCCTGCAGGATTATGGGATTATTCTCCGTCTAGTAATGAGCACTTGGATTTCTAAATAATAATGATAAAGCAATATTATGATAATTGTGTTCTCAGCTTTTGTTGTTTTCAGTCGGGACTCTTTCCATTTCATATTTATGTTCCCTTTCATGCATAACGCTTCATCTGCGTCTCTCATTTCCATCAGTGAACTTCAGTGCTGATTATCAACTCTTCTAATGGATTAAAAACATAAATCTCTGAAAATAAACAGATTTATGCTGCATTAACTTCTGGATTCCGTAGTCCTTTTATAAGAAAACACAGAATCAAGAAGTTACTGAAGCATGAATCTGTTTTTTTGTTTACAGTTTTTTTTTTTATCAAGTAAATTTTTTTCTAATTTAGCAAATATGTAAAATAAATCAATTGCAGTTTTTATTAAAGGGGTCATATGATGCGATTTCAATTGTTCCTTTCTCTTTGGAGTGTTACAAGCTCTTGGTGCATAAAGAAGATCTGTAAAGTTGCAAAGACTAAAGTCTCAAACCCAAAGAGATATTCTTTATAAAAGTTAAGAGTCAGCCACGCCCTCCTAAAACACCTCGTTCTAACACGCCCCCACATGTCTACATCACTATGTGGGAAGATTTGCATAACGCCGCCCAAATGTTCACGCAAAGAAAGAAGGCGTAACTTTTATTCTCGCTGTAGTATTGTTGCTGCCGCCGCCATGTCGTGAAGACGCTGTGTGTTTCGTTGTGAAAGCGAAACTACTTTGTTTGGTCTTCCAAAAGAGGACGATATCTGCTTCGCCATGCCTAGAGCTGATCTGTGCTGGTCGCTGAGGAAATACATCAACCTAGTGCTGTGGATCGCCGGCACATTTTATGGAGGACTGTTTACTGATCCTGGGAGAGTGACATTAGACTAAAATGCTGGCAGTTCTGACTCACGTAAGTACATTTTCTTTTATCATTTGCCACTGATGATTCAAACGTGAGTTTTGGGCAGTGTAGAGTAGGGCTTGTTGTTTGTCATTTCTC